TTCTTTTTGAGTTAAAACCGCGCCGTGCTCAGATTCAGTCTGAGCACTAGCGTTACCACATAGGCGGTTAGCACAAAAGCAATTTTTTTCAATTATGAGATAAAAAGAGAAAATAAAATGGCATTAAAGAGCACGCAATTTTTTAGATAATAGTTGACAGGCAATGAATTGCTTAGCAATTTGCTCTTTAAAAATAGCTTTGTAATTTATTGCATTAGCTTTTTTAAACAAAAATACCAATACATCTGCGATTTCTTAGATTTATGGCAAATATTTTCCGTAATAGCAATTAGCATGTTGTAATGCAAATAGCTGTTAGCCAATTGAAAGAGTTTTTAATATTTGATTATATATATATATATATATATATATATATATATATATATATATATATATATATATATATATATATATATATATATATATATATATATATAGAGGAGTTTAGTCACCTGAACTTTTATTGCGGAAAAAGAAACGAAGTTTGTTTTCGTCCAAAAAATGCATGAAAAGATTTTAGGTAGGTGTCGAAAAATGAAAACTCACCTATAAAAACAATTTTAAATACATGTTTTGGTATCGTTTTTTTCAGAAAAGAATGTAGAACATTAATTGCTGTGAAGACGACATTCTTGCTGTGAAGACGACATTCTTTTAATCATTTAAAAGTTATTTACTTTTAAATGATTAAAATTTTTTTAAACATGGCCTACTTAAATTACACGGCCTGATTTGTTGCATTTTCCGTAAAAAATTAAGAGGCCAGTTTTTTTTACGGCTTAAATATAAAAACTTAAATTTTGTTATGGTTAAGAGTCTTGTTTGCACTATAATTGTTTTATTTTTATTTTATTAAAATGGTTTATTATTAGTTAGATTTTCTTTGATTACTTACATTATTTTGTGCTAGATTTTCTGTTAACTGATTGCCTGCTTCAGTTTATTCCAATAACTAAGAATACTGAAATAGGCTTTCAGATAGCTATATCAACACATATTAACATGCTACTAAAAATAATCTTACATATTGCTAAAACTACCCACAAATCTCCATTGGAAATAATTTTAAAGGTTTGTAATTTTGTATTTATTATAATTGTAATTATTAAGTAGAAAACATAAACTTTTCTTTAAATTATTTACACTGCAAAATAAGGTTTTGCATTGTAAATACTTTATTTATCATAAATTGTTTGAGACATGCAGCATAAATTTTAAAAATTTATGCTGCATGTCTCAAACATACAGCAATTAAAATGTAACAAATTAGGCTGTTTATTTACAGTAGCCAAGAAATATCAGGCATACCAACTGTTTTCGAGTCAATAGCTGTTAATAAAATTCTTATTTTTTTCATTGCCATATAAATGGTTATCATTCTTCTTTATTTAAATGGTTTCGCAGTGGTAAAAAACACAAATTGAAAAACTATAATATATGAGAAAAATCATTGTCAAAAATTTGGTATTAGGAGATTATTTGCTTCTTGTGGGTAAGGTGTACTTCCAAAAAGCAGCCCAAAGTGGTAAACAATTTGATGAAGATTGAGAAAACAATCTTTATAAAGAATTTGTTTTTGTTTTTATGATTGTAGGGCTTCAAAAATTTATTCTTATGTTTTGAAATCATAACCTAAAGTTTACATAACAGGTTTATGTTTGAAAAAAGAAATTGATGAGTGTATTACCTCAATGCACCTATCTGAATTTAAGATAAGATTTGTTACCGATAACCATTCTACAAATGTTAATGCATTTTTATAGTTTCATAAAGCATATACTGGAGATGGAAAATTAATAATTTATCATTTAGTTTAGAAAAGGAGTGTTTAAAATATATTTGTTATTTGATAAACTCGGTTTTTGTTTTTTCTTTTTGTTGAAGTTACTGCTGATTACATTGCAGGGAATATATTTCTTAAAGTTTATTAAAAGATCACTTATTAAACAAGCAAGAAAAATTAATTACCAAATTACATATTTTGGTAACAACAAACAAGTTGTCAACATCGACAATATTTGACAAAACAACTGCAGCTCCAACTGCTAATTTAGAGTTATTTTTCTGAAAGAAAAAACGCAGCACAATTATCATTGTTTTATAAGTTATTTATCATACTTAATTCAAAGCAGAAACTTAATTTATCTAATCAAACTCAGCAATGCTGATAGGTGATAACAAACCCACACTTTATAGAGAAATTGCAAATTGTACTGAAATTTGATCAAAATAAAATTTGATAAATACCTGACATTAACCAAACAAACTTCTTGTGCTCTAATTACAACACTACACGCAATTGTATTTCTTATGCATGATTTCCTTGAAGAAGGCTTTACATTTGTTTATTGTTAATT